TGTCAGTGAGTGAGGAATGAGGAACAGGACAGCAGAACTGCAGGTTCACCAGGGTTTATTATCCTTACATTGACATGGTTAACAGGTGTGTGTGCTGATCGCAATCAGCAGCAAACAGTCCATGAGGTACTGAGAGAGAAGGAATGGAAAGCTCCCCCACATCCCTTTGCTGCTCATCCACAGAAAAAACTTGCCACACTACTTGCTCTTTACACGAGTACCGTAGACTCCTCTTACCTTGACAATATTTCTTTTTGACTCTGAAAGAGTTGTTTGATCTGGATTTAGGCTACCAGGGGGCCCCATCAAGACACTCCAGGGAGAGGGAGAAGATGCATCTAAATATGTACAATGTTTTTATAGGATTGGTGTCAGGCCTTGGAAACCGATTTCCCTGTATAAGGGTTGAGAGCGTAAGCAGTAGATGTCTACTCAGGTTTGGGTTAGACCCTCAAAATCAAGCATGAAAGTGAGGAACTAAGTCTCATGGTTAGACTTTGAGAGAGGGAAAGAACTGAATTGAAAGATATTCTCTGGAGAGATGGTGTGTAAGAACTACTGGCTGTTCTAGGAGTGAGAACTCAGCTGTCTGAACTGAGATTCAGGGGACTCCTAGTTAGAACTGTATGGCAGTGACTGTTATTGGCCTTGCAAGCAGATTCTGAAAATGAACATCAGTACTAACTGTTACTACAGTCTTTCTAAGAGGCTTCATTTGTGTAGAGGAGGGTTTAAGTTTCAGGGACCGTAATCTAGGAGGAGGGAAACCCCAAGTAGGATGTCAGATTTGTGTAAGCTGGTGTTGCATAACCCAGGGAACGTGCGTACTGTAGTTATGTATGGCACAGTGTTATTTAAAGGGGTTTAATTATAAGTAGTGGTCAAAATGGAAACGTCCATTAGTAATGCATTCAGCTACCATGTAATAATGGTATAATGGCAATATACATTGCATAGTCTACCACTATCTGGAATTCTGCAGGAGAGATAAGAAACCCTTTTGCTTTGAGAAAGTCAATCCACCACACTTTGTCGATGGAGTGGACAACACTGTCTCAGGCATCACTGCATTACTCCCCATCATTGCTCGATTAGGTTCAGATCTAGTGACTGAGAAAGGGATGCCACCCAGATGATGACTTCATCATCATGTCCATGAAATTACTGGGAGTGTGCATGTGCTCTGAGCAAGGGGAAGTTGTCACCCAGAAAGAATCCCAGCAGGAAATAGGTAAAGCAACATGGGGTGAAGATAATTACTCAGCAATTAAGTAGCAATGAGCGCTGACCTAACTCATAAATTAATGACTGCACTCAAACCATACCAAACATTACAGACCCACCGCAACCCTTCACTGCTGGAACTAAACACTAAACAGTTCATCAGGTTGGCACATTTCCTGAACTCATCTGGTTTTTGTGGTTAAGGTTGAACCTCATTCTCCACAGCTGGAGAGCTCCCAAACAAGCATTGTTGGAGTGAGGAGTCCTGTGCTCATCACAGCCCCACTGTGGTATCCCTTTGTGGGAAGATCATAGTCAACAGTTATTGATTGCATGGAGACACTGTTATCCGAAATCCTGCTACGTTTCCCTCAATGTATACCGTTTAAGAACAAGTTAAGATTAATTGGTCTCTGTAAAACTAGACAGCCAAACCCAATGTCTCGGCTCCCTGAGCCTTCGTCATTCTCAGGATCAGCAGTGTCTTCTGTTCATTGCAATGCTCACATCTGCTCAATCATTTCCACCCTCTACTCTCTTCCTGGGCTCTTTTAATGCATCTAGCTCTGTGGTCACTATATGTATGTCTACAGTCTTTTCTGAAACCTGAAGAAGACTCAGCACCCAAGGCAATGTGTTGCTTCTTTCTTAAACAGTATTTCTTGTTTGTAAACAGTCTGTTTGGGCAGGCAAAAGTCACCACCAGTACCTTCCACTGGTCTTCCCCTCAAGTCAGTTGAGTGCCATCCACCCAGATTTAGGTCCCCCTCTGCAACACACTGCCCGGTCCAGTATTCATGTCCTTGAGCTTGTTTACTGGCGTAGTCCTTAGTACAAGATACAGAGAAACACACCTCTAGTCTCCAAATACAGAGACACTCAGAATTTGGTGAGACACATCTTGTATAATGTGCTCTCTAGTGCTGAATGTCCAGTCTAGCAACCTACAGTACATGTGCTGTGCATAGTGAAGGTAACACCAGGTCAGAGCTGCTGATGTCTTGCACACATCATCCTCATCACACACACTGCACCAGGCTCAACACAAGCCCTTACAGTTTGATCTCCACTGCTCTTCTGCAAGCACTCTGCATAGTAGCAATATAATCAGGCTCTTTAAGAGGCTTTTACTGGGTCTATCTTTCTGTATCTCAGCACAGCAGATACAAGCACAAACACAAACAAATTAAACACAAAACATAACACTGGTTTATAGTCACAGAAGACCCACAAGGCTATGATAACAGTCAGTAAGATGGCACACAGCAGCCCCAGACTCACTACAGCCAGAGTAGACAAACGAAGTCTGGGGTAAACTTTCAAATTTGCAAGTGTTTCTGGACTCTCTCCATTGGGGATTACCCTTCTCAGGACACACACATTACAGTCCCAGGGTGGACCTGCAGGATCCAGTAAATGTAAAGCAAACAGATGAATCAATAAATGCAGGATCAATATTCAAATTCAGTGTAACACAGTGATACACCTTCTTTGTACAACACGTGTGAAAGAGGCACATAATGACAACATGATACAGAACCTCTGGGTCAGGTGAGGGAGCCACCTGGGCTGAGGAAGACAGTGTCATTTTTAATTCATCCTGTATCACTGACAGAAACAGGATAATAGGTCAGGATATACTCTAGAATCTGCCGCCTGGACTGTATAACACATCAAACATTGAGAGGCTTAATCTTGAGACGCTGCAGAGTTGTATAAATTGGGAAAGTAACTGAAGTCAGAATTCAATGCCTTGAAAACACTTTACGCATTAAGCGCAGGTAAAAAAGATAACTCCCTTGAATTATTATGAAGTGTCAGATGAAATCACATTGTCTGACAGTACTGTATGCTTAAATTGTATGTTTGAATTTCACCTGCTCCAGGCCTATAAAAGACAGGGTTTTTGGACACACTGACTAAAACCACATATTTTAATCAGTGATTGCTAGGTTTAACAAAAAATATTTATTAGATTCTTAAACCACAACAATTCTCATTAACATGACATGAATTACATACAAAACTATTAAACAATG